GAATGAATAAGACGAATTATACGCATGCAAAAGACTGAAAACGAAATACGGTGGTCAAATCAGCATAGGAATGCACAATACAAATGCGAAAGAGAGAATACCAATACCATTAGAAATAGATACAAAACAAGAACTAAGTAAATAGTACGTATGAAAAAAGAATAAAAAAAATGTAAGCTTAAAAATGGAGGAAATAATAAACGATGATACGTAAGGAAGGAAGGCGATGAAGATAAATTGAGAGGGAATATATGTATCAAAAAAGGAGATGGAATGGGAATGAAATTGTAACAGTAAATACACACATTTGGGTTTAAAATGACCTTTCATATCTTTATTTATATTTCATGCTTTTTTTCAAAACGTGAACTACATATACTATACACAATGAAAACCGAACATTAAAAAATCACGTTAATTGCGTAAGGAAAATGAATTTTTACAATGTCCATTATCTTCTATCAAAAATTCACGCCGATACAAGTTTGTTTGCCACTGTATTCAACGTGACACGCTTTCGTGGTGTTTCCGTCAGTTGTAAAATGTTAGGAGGTTTAACAGCCTTGCATTGAAACGTATTGAAAGGCAAGTATTGGACGGGAACGTAGTGAAGTTAGGTGTTGGCACATTGTCCAGTAAACTTTGCGGGCGTGAAGTAGTTGGTATGCCAACTTGGCTAACAAACCTCGAAACCTGCGAATTCCCCTAATTTATTCAGACTCCGACCAAGTTTTCATTTGACATTTATAGAGCTTTAGGGGCGGAGGTGAGCGAATTGCGGGCTCAATGGGCGACACCCCGTAACAAACGGCTATTGGCAATAATTACAAACTCTTACTCGTTCCTCGTAAAACCCAGGGATTAAGTGTACACTCAGTTTTAACACGAGGCCGATAAAATAATTTATTGCCACTTCCGCGCTTTTAATTCTCTACTAACCCTCCTGGCTTCTTTGTACCTGTTCTAACGAGGTGAAATTAATTCAGAAAGCCTCCTAACATGGACTAAAACCCGTTTAACTTAAATTTAATATGCCTTACATAGGCGTCACCACGTAAGAGTATATAATCCCCGCAAGATTCATAGTAAATGAAGGAAAATTAGTTTTGTTTCAAACCGAACTTTATAAGGTCTAGGTTGATTACTCTTTAAAAAATGTAACTATCATTTTAATTGAACTCATACCGCTTATAGTTCCCCATTAATTAAAAAAAAATCAATTTAATATGTTCCATGTGTGCTATTAAAAAGCATAAAAAGCAAATAAATTAAAAGGTAGACTAATATCCAGTTTTTCCAATGATTTAATATCCAATTCTACTAAACAAGGTAGATAGAGTGATAACTTATTTTATTGATTTAAAAATATCAAATTATTAGAAAAATAGTACGTTGAATTACAAATTATAATTTACAAGATAATGATTAGGCCTCTCTTGGCGTACGGTTGTGAAGTTTGAGGTTCAGCCAAGGATCCCAATTCCCAACGTCTTTAATCAATCCGATCTAAAATTCTATGTCAAATTATAAATGCACCTTTTTAAGTTTGTACATGAACTCAAAACCCACTATAAAAAACTCCACCAATAAGTGAACACACACACACACACGCACGCACACACACACACACACACACACACACACACACACACACACACACACACACACACACACACATAAAAAATACACACAATAATTTATTAATACGACAGTTATCTTTTACCTGAAAATCTTTGAGACGATTGAAGCGAAAGTGGCCACAAGACCTTCTCACTGAGTAAAGATTGTAAAGTTTTAGTATGAAGGATTGTTTTCAATGGGAGGTTTCTACTTCAGGAGACTCAAATTAATTTGTATAAATTCAACATATGTGAACATATTTACTTAATACAATATTTGTAGTTGTAAATATCAAATAAATTTTAAAAAAATGTATTACAAATAGCACTTGGAAAAATCGTCTGCGATGTTAATGTTTTCAATTTTCACACAATTGACACAATGCCTTTACAAACTTTCTTTTTCAGTGATAGTGAACAGACATCAGTCGTTTACATAATTCGGTATTTGATGTTGTATAAACATATAGTAAAATTTTAATTTTATACGTCATATCAGTAGCAATTTATTTAAGTAACTAGTTGAATTCATCGATTAACTTCCTCTAATAGATTAACGAAATTGCACTTTATACATTCTGACATCTTTTTTCTTTCAATCTAACAACCTTATTTTGCCATACCAAAACTTGACTTTTTAATGGCGCCGCCTACGTTGAAGAAATTATATTCATTAAATCTAGTTTTTAAATAAATCATGGCCTTTATCTAGAAGTTAAGTTTCGAACGTATTTTATAATAATTACAAACAAACAAGACGGGCCACCCCTTGACGGGAAACAAGTGTAGCCATGTACTCGTGTCGTCCTCGGGTCGGCATGGGGCGGCGGGTGCTTTATCAGAGGCACACGTGCGTTAGTGTACCAGGTCCTGTTTGCATAGACGGGCGAGGGTGCATAACCTTCTGTACTACGGGGTAATTGAAATGTCTCAAGGTTCAGCCCTTCTTACGCTGGGAATGGACTCCTAGTTGGCTATGGTGAGACCCCTGGCGGGTATCTGAAGAGGAGACTGTCTTCTTTCGCACGAAACTTGCGTATGACCATCGTTATTCACCCGGCCTCACGGGTACGAAGGATCGGACAATCGAAGCGTATAGCGTTGAGGACGCTCAGACTACGCTGACTGAGTCCCCCGAATGCGTGAGAAGTGGCGGATGGAAATTGGTAGTGAATCGGTTGAGCCTATTTGAGTGCGCTGTGCACGCATGTATACGTAATGTGCTCGATTGACGACTTTTATCGTACGCAGTCTCCTCTAGGGGGTGGATAGCAATTCCATTTTAAACGAAACCGCGGCCGGAGCGGATCCGGAAGTTTCTACGCTGGGGGAGCCTCAATATTCTGAGAAATAGAGTGGCCTTCTCTATCTAGGGAGTGCGCGGGAAACCAGGCTGATGTATTTCGGCCTAGGTAACCCTTTGCGCGCGGCATACGGTTCGATGCTTAATGCGGATCCGACCACTCGGAATGGGCAAGCGGGGAGCGAGGTTGTCTTGTCCCCTCGGGGCTGAGCTGCCTCTACACCAATGCTGCGGCAGTAACACATTTCGGTCGTATGCGGAGGTGCGTCATCTCTCATCTTGAGAATCAAAACTATCAAATAAGGTCGGAAGGCTAGGTGCGGACGTTAAAGATTGTCCGTCCGAGTTTGTATGGACACCGCCCAACGCCTCTCTGAGTCCTTCCGGTCCTACTAGTACGGGGGATGATCTTGCGGTACTAACCAGAAACAGTACACCGCTACACCTATACCGAGCTGCATCCCTAGGACTCAGATCGCCGGTTTTCGCCTGATTATACCGACAGATCTAGAACCGGCGAGGGTGTGGCTAGCACCGTGTAGAGACCGCGGCAATGCAGCATATCTGTAGGGATGGTGGTGGTACTGTCTGCCATTTGGCACGTACTCGGGCTGATTCGAGGAGGCCCTATCTATCTCGTCTGTTCCGACGCCCAGAGCTCGGTTTCGGCTTTTCGTGAAAGATTCCCGGTAAACACTTTCCCGTGCTGTTATTGAAGAAATATGCTGAGTTGGAGCGCCTCGGAAAAACAATAGTAGTTGTCTGAATAGCCGGACACTTGGGCGACGTCTTGCTCTCTAGTCAGTACCATCAGCGATACGGCTCGAAACGGAAGTCGTTCCCTATCTGTAAATATTGTAAATTATATGTATAGCTCTACTGTGTGTTAAGCAATGAGAGGGGCGATGGGTAGGGACTTCAAAAATGTTTATCATTTCCACCTAGCAGTAGCTAATAAATTCATATGGACCCTGGAATGCTCATAATACATACCCTGGAAAAATCTAATGCTTCAATGCCCATTTCATGAAAAGAAATTATGCACCCCTGCATCAGAACTAGCCAATCCTTAATCCTACGAAAAATCGTTGGTGCTCCATTATACGAGCGTAACTACCATAAAGCCTTTATTTTCTTTCGTACAAAATGAAGTCCGTTACCGTAAACTTGACAAAACCCTTCCAAACATCGTAAATCATCACACTAAAAACTCGCACCCGGCGAATTTACTCGAATCTCATCGCCGACTGAAGAGACCATGGCCGCGATGTCATGCGCAATGACAGTGAAAGAAATTACAAAAATTATAATTAATCAGACTGCAGCATCGCTGGAGCACTGACAATGGGTATTTTCTCTACTCTTGTTTTTAATTTTGTAAATATTTCCTTTACAAGTTGCACATTACCGAATTGAAGGTTGTTATAATACAATTAATTAAGGTTTTTAGTTGAGATAAAAAAGTCAATGGCACGAGAGGGATTCGAACCCACGATCTTCGGCTAGATACGCCGCTGCTCTACCACTTGAGCTATCGAGACCTCAATCCACTCGGACACTAACTTCCCCTCTCAACCCCACCATTTGAATTTTCCCTCCTTTTTGCCATTTTTCAAGGTAGTTATTATGTACTGCAATAAATTGAAAAAATCTTTTTGGAATACACGCATTTGTGTTAGCTTATTTTCCTTACCTATTTTTTGTGTAAACAGTGTAGGCATGATTATCGAAAATATAAACCTCACTCCTCGAAAAAATCTTGCTTTGATGGAAAAGATCATGGGCTTACTTGTTTTCAAATTAGAAAACTTAAAAAATCTAGGCTTATTTTAAACTAGGGTTTGTTTACTTTTTTATTTACGTAAATATTATGTTTATTTTATTTGAGTTTAGTTTTTTAACAACAACCTTGGTCCTAAGTTGTTTCATGTGACATCGAAAACAAATAAATATTATTTACTTAATTGTTATTGTACTTTAGTTGTCATTGTGGATAACCCCAAAATAAATAATGACATATTTCAATTAATTGCATTCTAATTATAATAATTATGTTTAATACTTTAATTCTGTTATAGGTGTCGCGTGGACTTCAAAATTGCGCAGACACGAAATTCCAAAGTCAACCTGACAGTTATAGGTAAGTTCGTAAGTTAAAGTCTAAGACTGCAAACTTTCTGTCAAATTAATGGCACTGGGGCACTCCACTCCGGTTCCATTAAATGAGTAAAAATTAAAAATTTACAATGAAAGTGGTTTCTTGTCGTAATAGCATTTTTTTCTTAGATTGAACATAACGTAAATAAATGGCGACAGGTTATTCCTCAAAATAGTTTAATGTATAATGCATAATTTTGTTACCAAAATTTTCAAAAACTATTAGAACACTTGTTTTCCTAATAACTACTAAATTATAAAATGATACAAATCCAGATTTCCGGCCAATAAAACAAAAACAGTTGTCAAAAACCGAGGAAAAATTGGACGCTGTCCTTCCAAAAATTGAAAAATATTGAACCCCCTTACTATTATTTAAATATTCTATTTGGAGACATCCTCGATTGATTTCAATTTAAAAACGTTTCATAAAAAAATGTACTTTCAGAATATGCAACAAAAATAGAGAGATTTGAATGAAAACGAACATTTGATTATGGTACACTGAACATCTAGGGTAAAAAATTTATTTTTCGGCTGCAGAACAAATGGATACTAATAATGATGAAGGTGGGTTGAGTATGTTGTTTCACTTTTCGTAAATGATGGCTTTTCTTACAGATTTAAATATGTGATTTTAATTTCAGTCTGTCAAGAGAACAATCATCACAAAAAGCAAATAGATAATTTCTAAACACTAGAAGAGATCATAATTTAACCTTGTTTTAACCTTACCGCCTGCATATACATCGATTACATTTTGGTGTCATGAAGAAATCGACTATAATTTTGACTTTGGAAGTTATCTATGCTTTAATACTTGATAAACTGTAAGTCAAATAAAATCGAAAATTTTTGCAGCATTGGCTTTATAACTCGAAACTAATACTTACTTAACAAAAGTTGAATAATTATATGACAATTCCATTTAACCGAAATTTGTCCATTTTCCCTATATGAGGAACCCATTTATGAGGTGAAATTCGACCGAGTGTCGGGCTTCCTTCGTGCTCAAACATTTGTAAAAATAATTTTAAAACTCATCCCCCAATCTAGGGTCTGTCGGGAATATATACAAGGTGGTAAAAGCCAGGCGTGACCAACCCAGGACCCAAACCGGATTCCTGATAATCAGAAGATCAGTCCTGGGGCGGCTATCTATCAGGGGACGGGCCATTGTTCTAGCCATGGGCCGGACCGTTCAATAACCCGGGCCCCCATTACCTTACATCAAACCATTATCAGGCCGGCTCGATCCCCTCAATAAGAAAATGGAAACCACTTATCTCGTGTTATAACCTATCTGTTTGCCCCGGCCGGCTCCAATGAATACAAATCAACTTGCCTGCCTCATTTTTCCGGGTGACTGTCAATTCCGGGATTTTTTTAATATTAGTCGGCTGAGAATATATCAAACAACTCTTTATAATCCTTTTACAACAGTTTTGCAAGCACAGCAATAACAAACTATTCACCAAGACTTTTCTTCCAGTCTAGAATATCTCTTGTCATAAAGTATACTAATAAAATTCTCTATAAAAGAAAATTGGTGATAAAAAGTCTTTAGGATCCGGTGGTCAGTCCGCGAGCCACTGAACACTAGCAGAAAGAAATCGTTACTCGTAAACCACCAAATGGAACTTTACTTAACTTTGCATAATGCTAAGCTAGTTGTTTATACTTCTTTCATTTTGCGTTTTTTTTTTTTTTAATTGCAATAGCTTTGATTTTTGTTACGTCATTGATTGAACAATTTTGTTTAGCTGTGAGTCGCTATTAGCTCACCAAAAACACACGTATATTTCATTGAACATTAGTTCAAAACATAACGAAACAAACTAAACACTACAAAGAACCAAGAGTTCAATTAAGTACTCCAACCTCCACAGAATCCAGACCCGACAGTCACAAATCCTCAGATCCATCGTCAAAGACCCTCTGTTTGTTTATAATGTTTATAACCTCACCATCCATAATGACCTAAATGTTCCCTTTATAAATGAAGTTACAAAATCCAACTGCATATTTCTATACAACTCTTATTACTTCGCGATTTCTTCCCAACAATCATCCTTGATGGCGAAAAAGAAAGTGGCACCGGGGCCTGCTCACAGAGAGTGCGAGTCATTGAGTGATGATTTCTGATTTAGGTGTGCTTTCACTTGTATCAGCTTATTGACTCGATGCCTTCTAGGTTTTTTACTTTTTCCTGTATTATATATTTCTCTCTATAAATGCTACCGATGTAACTTGTGTTGGGCTTCGAGGAGATTGTTCCTCTTTTACTAAGGTAATTTTAAAAATCTTGAAAGGGGCTCGCGGTTATTCAATTAAAAGAACGGCGTCATGATAGAGCCAAAGAAAAAGGTCTTCCTAATAATATTCAGAAGTAACACCGAGAGATAATAATCAACCCAAATTTAAACCCTGTCATTAAAATCCATATTATCAAATACATCAAAGATAATAATAATATTAATTAATTTATAAACATNATATATAATTGATGAATTTCTCTTGAACCAATGACGCTATTAAAAAAAAACTTTTATTCTAGTTTCAAATTTTCACCTTTTTTCGAGAACAATTATACAGGGGTACTTGTTTTATTAAGAGGGTCAATTCATAAACACACTCGTCTGGAATTTATTAAGACTGGCTGTACAATGCATGGGAAAGGAGTGGGGAACTCCTGGGGTTATCTCTGTTTACATTTTGCAACTTAAATACAACACCTTCCCCTTTTACAATTTTAAATACATTTGTCTTAATAATTTTATTTTTAATAATTATATCAATAAAATTAATAATTATACAAATTTCTCTGAACGCTTAATACCTATTACAAAATGGGAGAGACCGTAAATTTAAATTATTCCTGACAAAATTAAATACTTAAAAAGACAAATATAATAAATAAAAATAAGGAACATATCCTAATGACTGTTTCTTTTTCAAACTTGACTTTGAAACTAGACTAAAAATATATTAAACACATATTTTTTGTTGTTGTTTTTGATAGCGTCATTGGTTCAAAAGAAAACTACTTGATAAATTTTAGTATAAAAAATTACATTTGCCATTAGATTTCAGGAAAACGGTTTTAAAAAATGACTTTTTTTTAAATATGCTTTTTATTTCTACGTATATAACAGTGATTATTAGCAAAGCATAATGCAGGCATGGATCACGATCTGTCTGCCGGAGGTCGTTGTTAAGAGAAAAAGAATAAACGAAAAAAAAAGAATTAAAGCGAGGTTATAACATTATTCGCTACATGCTAGTACACCATCAAAAAAGATTAAACATAATAGTAAAACTACTTCTAATAGAAAACAAACCCAGGGGAAAAGTCTTAATGGTAAAGGGACAAAAAATCGGATATAATAAAGACATATATTATATAAAGAAAATTGAGTGAATGAATTGGAGGGGTCAGAAATTGAATTCCATAATTAGGTCTAATCTATATTTCCAGGCGTGGCGGACATACTGCGTGAGCGCCCGTGGATTTGGGCCATCCAACAGATTTAACAGAGTGCTCCTAGAGACGGTAAAAGATACCAAGTGCATCAACCTTATCTCGCCCAATATTGTACATTCGGCCATAAAATGCAGAGTTGTTTACACAGATTGAGAATTGCAAAGGGCTCAAACCCCTCCTTGCCCCTCAACCAAAGTGCAGAGTTCAAGTTAACTTGAAATGACGACTTTTGTAATAACTTTAAATATAAATGAAATAAATATCAAATTATTATTATATTGCTATATTAATACTATTTTCATTTTTTGTAGGTTGTTTTAAAAACTTAATAACACATTAGGTATTTTTTGTAACCTAGTCTGTACTTAAAATATGGTCTATACTAACAAATTATCCAATCCTAAAATTATTAAATAATTTATATTTTTCTCCCTGTCCCATGCGAATGTTCAACCGTGTTCAACAGTTACCAGGTTCGCGTTTAAGAATATACTAATTAAAACGGTCTAAATTATACAAAAGCACGCCCTACAAGTTGATACATGTTAATAATATGAATACATACATGTTAATGATATTTATTTAAATGGTTCTCTTTGTGAGCAAACTTGAAAGGGACTTTTCCATAAGCCTGTTATTTTCTTGTGAATTTTCAGGAGCGTTAAGCCCTGTCTAAATCTGTTTGCATCCCTTTCCCTCGTTATAATTAATTTAAGCAAATCGGAGGTAGAGAACAGGTTTGTCCATTGTTTCTTATTCAATTAGACGGAACGAGGAAATGGAATAAGGGAAATTTGTTCTCAAACAGGGCACAACGGCAACCGAAACTGTCTCCGTCGCGGATGTGAGCGGATATGATTCAGCATGGGTTCGACCCAGTTCCGGATTTCCAGGCGAAACTGCCTTGATTTGAGTTATTCAACTCAATAACTCTAAATTGGTTCATGTCAACAGAAAATATGACTCAACTTTGAACGAGAATGCGAAAGATTTTACTTTAATTGAGACATATTTCGTTAAAACAGAATAAAATACGGCGCTATGCTATGCTAAACCCTCACAGCTGATCCGTCGTGAGGTTTATTCATTTCAAACCTTTTGCTTAAGGTTTGATTCACGATCGCTCCTAGCAGTCCAAACGGAGCAACGCCGTTCCAAAAACCACGCCAATGGCAAAACTGAACTGGCGTGCACGGCTGTGCCGAATATTCGACCGGTCTAAACTCCATTGCGCCACTCCAAATATCTACGGCGTGACGACGGCATGGCGCGTTCGTGAATGGGAAAACCAGCGTTTTTTGGCGCAGTCTCCGTCTTTCTGTCACTGAGCAAACATCTCCATCGTACATTCTCAAAAAGTCAAAAACGTTTATTCTTTATTGGTAATGACATTCAATCGAGATTTTATTGTTGATATGATTGAATTGTATTAAACTTTACCATGTTTATGGAAAGTGGTGGACAATGTTTACCACGATAGAAATAAAAGAAATTCGATCCTCAACCTGTTGGTCGACGTTTTCAAAACAAAAGATACAAATGCAACGAGAGATGCGGTATTGATAACCTCTAACAATGATCAGAAATCATAGTAGAGAACTTAATTTCTTTGTAGTTCATCCCTGTAGCGAGAAATCGTAATGTGGTTGCCAACCTTTCATGTAGTGAATATTTCTCTCATGACTGTCTTTGTTTTCTAATCAAGGGGGTAACAAGCTGGAGTAAATATAAATAAGACGTTAATTTTTTTTTTGTAAGGTTTTGCTTGAAATGAAAAAATAATGTTTCGACGACATTCGGCTAAATACGCCGCTGCGCTAACCACTTGAGCTGTCGTGACTTCGATAGTTCGATCCACTCGGACACCAACTCCCCATCTCAACCTACAACCTTTCGAATTGTCACTCTTTTTTGCCATTTTTTGGTGTCGGAGAGGATCGAAGTCACGAGCAGCGGCGTATTTATCCGAAGGCCATGGATTCAGATCCCGCTCGTGGCACTAGCTTTTTCATTTCAACCAAAACCTTACAAAAAAGATTAATTAATTGAAAGAAGTAATTTGGTCAATAGAACACTAAATATAAT